TGCTGAGACCAGTTACACAGACTGCAGTAAGTTGTCTGCCACTCACACAGAACTAACAAGAAACAGGAGTGTCCCACCTATAGCACCAACACAGCCATGAAAATAGGCAGAAGAGCTACTGAAAGAGTTGCATACAAACAAAAAAGGAGACTGGAGTTCAAGTACAGGTTTGCTTTATAACCTTGATTATGTCTCCCATTTCATAGGGTCTCAGAACTCAAAAAGCAGTGTTTTGCAGGAAGACATCCACTTCAATGTTTTTTAATAAAAAGAAATTAGCAAAGAGTTCTCTTTGGAAATAAAATCACCAAGACTTAAAAGTTGTATCGTCTGCATGTGCACAGATGAAACACAAAAAGAATGAACTCCAAGTGGCAGGTGTAAATCACTGGAGATCCCCAGTTGCGGAGAAGGGATTTGGAGAAGTACTGAGACGACTCAATATGAGTTAGCTGCAGGAAGTCTCGTTTATTGCGCAGTTCTTATTGCTTATATAGACAGTATTTGCCAATAATCCTGAGACCACACCTTTTCTACACCATTATTGGATGATACATACGCTTGTCATATTTAACAGCTTATTTCAAACAGGTACCCGCCTAGCGAAGCTCTGCTCTAAGCAAACACTACTCCCTTATCATACTGCATAGTTTTCTTATCCTTAACTTCAAGGGCATTCTGCACTTGAGGCCTAACTTTAGAGCTCCAGTCTCTATTTACACAGGATTTTCTTCGTGCAGTCTCTTCAAGGATCTGCACTCCGACACCCAGTGTATTGCAGCGAGGTGGCACTCGAACCTATGCAGACTGAATCCATCACATCAGTATCCAAAGGCAGGAGTGACAGTACAGTGTTTTGATGATGCACTGCATTAGGATGACACACAACAGTGAGTTTGTAAATATTTTTAGTGGGAGAGTCAAAAAACCCCTCTTTTTGTGCATCATGAAGGCATTTAATTCATTTTTCTTGTGCTATTTACTCTTTACCTAGTATTTCCAATAGTAAAGGTGGCCAGGGTCATATCCCTAAATTAAAATAAGAGAACTGAGACACAGGGAGATAAAGTGACCTGCTCAGAACCCATAAGCGCACTAATAGCTTTTCTTAAGAAGGAGAAATTATTTGGGAATATTATCTTATTTGGGAAATAAGAGTTTTAGTTCTGCACACTAGGTCCATTATTGCAACCTCACCAAAAAGCAGATAACCACTTCCAGCTTCCCCACATTTGATGCCTCTTAGGCAGGCTTAAATTTCTAATGATAACCTTTTGACTGAGAGTTTTACATAAACAAATACATATCAGGTTAGGAGGCTGCAGTGTTAGACAACTACATAAAGAGAAAACCTAGAGCCTGTGTGCATGTTGAGGATTTTCCTAATCATGATTTCCTTCCTTATTTCTTCTGGCGGTAGCCTTTAGTATAATGACCATGGAACGAGCAGATTTGCTTCCTCTTCAAAATACAAATCCCGTCTATATTCCCTGGTTACTTCCTAGTGTAACTTCCTTCAAACGCTTCTGAGGACAAACAGTGCCAGAGCTTTCTCTCCCACACCTCTCTCCCACTTCGCGTTCCACACACTGTCTCCAGAATCAAGTAGTTTCACAATCTGTTATTTCTCCACTGCTTTCATCTTAGGGACACCCAAGAAGGACCCCACGCTCTCCTCTGAAGTAACACATTTTTAGAAGCCTCTGGAACCCCCCCAGGCAAATACAAAGGACCGCAAGCCCCAGATTAGAAGGCTCTCAGGGAAAAAAACTGCAGTAGAAATCGGACTGACCATTCACTCACACTAAGCAGTCAGTCCAGGCAGAGATCTCTCCATTCCTAAGCAGACATCTACATAACCATTAATTTATTATGGAAAATATTTTGGAGTATTTTACCTTAAGTTCAAGTCTTGTAGTATTTGCTTGGCATCGGTAAGTCGCAAGAAGAAAGTTGCTATTTGGCTGCAAACAGCAGAAGAACAGAAAAATAAGACAGAACAGGGCTGTAGATTCACAAAAGTTCTAATGGTCTGTTTTAACTTTAGACATGTGCAGTAAAGTTTTTGCTATTTATGTACAGCTCTTTTACAAAAGTTAAATACAAAAAAGTAATCATTGATTCCCTTGAATACTCCAATTAATTTTAATGATGGTAGAATTAAAAAAAATATCTGTACAAAGAGAAATCAACGGAAGCCTCTTATACTCTTTAATACCACCATAAAAATTACATAGATATCTACTTTTCATCTGAAGAATGCATGTCAGCCTGCCTCACTCATCTGCAATATTAGTCCAACATCCAAAAACTAAAGTTAAATCAGTAGGAAAACACATCATAAACAAGCTAAATCAATCATCATAAATGACAAGAAACTTCAAATAAAAAGCTGATTTCTGAAAGCTCCAGGGTAGACCAATGATGTGCAAATTTAGTTCTTAAAATACTCAGAGCACCGTTACAAGGAAACAGACTTCACAGAAGATTTTCATAATGATAAGGTGGTTTCTGAATTTTCCCCCTGGCCCTAAGCATCATTAGTAATTCTGTAAGTATTTAAGTTTGTAATTATTACATGAAAAATGCACTTAAACATATGACTCCCCACACAGCAGAATTTTCACGTTCTAAAGTGATTTTTGAGAGATGAACTAAATAAGAACCACGATGTTCTTCACTTAAATACTCTGAAGTAAATATGTGTGACACTGGCAAACCCAGAGAAGACAGCAGTACTGCACGTGTCTTTCACATTCCTGATCAGACAGGAAAAAAAGCAAGAGAGCCATTGTTCCTGGATCCTTTTGCTTAGCTTTGCCTTATGTCAGGACCTGCCACTAACTCCTAATTCTGCAGTATCTCTAATGAAGCCAAGCTCTCCAAAATTACCAAATCAGTAGTGTAACTCAATAGACTTAAAATTACAAATATATAAATCCAAACTCTATTTTTAATATACAGTATTAAGAGCTTTCATCACGCAATCTCTATAAATATAATCTCTTCTGTTTCACTTACCTCAGAATCACAGCTGCTGAAGCTAACAACAGCAGAATTTTTATCCACATCCAGCAAGTCTATTGGGACATCACTCTGCAGAACACATGAGGAAGGAAAAACAAAGAGTTTTAAGTTCCTGAGTAGCTTCTAATGCATTATCTTCTAACTGTCATCAATTATTTTACTAAGCAAGAGGCAATGATTGCTTCATCCAAGAGGAAAAAGCCTAACAGACAGGCAGTTTACTACTTAATCCTGCAGCAGGACGATGATCTTTCTCTTATTCTCTTATGAAGCCCCGAAGCCTGGTGTGGCTGGCTTACAACCACTTCAGTACAAGTTGTGTAACTATCTTTTCAGATAACAAATCTTTCAGACATGAAAATATACTTCATTCATATGCATGAATTATACTCATGACTGAAGTGCTTCCCTATTTTAATAAGAGGATTACAATATTCATTCAGGAAACCAAGGATCATATTACATAATAATTAGCGATCCTTTCATTTACAATAACGCTTCTGACACAGACCACTTCTTATCTAGACATGCTTTCACTGGAATGAAAATTAAATCTAACGTTGTTTTAAAAATCAGACTAAAGAATATTAAAATGATTAATTACTTGATTTGATACTGCTTTGTAACTTCACAGAAGTGTCAGGAAACATTGATAAATATGCAACATACTTCCTAAAAAATATTTTAAACCCAGTTTTATTATCTTCTCACAGCAGAGGAATACCAGATCCTGCTTTATACTTCTTTAAAGAAAAAGCCATAAATTCTAAATGCTACATTAAGTTCAGGGCTAGATTAAACAATTTCATTATTCCTCACTTAGCTATGGAAATAGCAGATACTGTAGAGCTGCATATTAGCTGTAACTTAGCATTGCTCTAATACCATCCTTAATAAAAATGAGATTTTTATTAAGAAGCAAAAAGTAAAATCCTACAGTAGTTATCTCCCATTTGTTATGGCAAATTCACCTCTCAAATTCTTCCTTGTCAAATTTTTCTCCCCATGCATATCCCAAAAGAAGGTAATTCAGTACCACTACTCTTTCTGACTACCAAAGATAACATTAATTTCAGCTGATGCAGTAGGAGGAAAAAGTAATTAAGGCTGCTCTACTTGACAGGAATATTTATCACCAATTCCACAAACATCAGATGCTGTTCCACACTGAAAGTTCACAGGTGGCCCACACCATTCTAAAATTAATTTCCCACTACAGAAGATACTTAACTGGTGAGTGAGAATCCACACGTCATTTAAGATATACTGAGTTAAATGCTGTTTAAGTAAGGAGAGACATACAAAAGCAAATACAAAAGTTATGTAGAAATCTGCTAGTACAGCAGGCATTTTGGTCTATTTTGGTAGTTCATGTTGCTCTGTTCAATAAAGGTTCAAGCTGTATTTGTTCCCTAACAAGTTTTTACAACAGTTACTTCAACACTGCAAGGCTATACACTTCAATTCCCTCTTACAACAATTCAGATATTATAACTCAGCTTTTTAAACCAGAAAGCCTCTGAATGTTTCATTCACATATCAAGAAAGCCAACAAGAACAAACCCACACTCACCTGTACCAGGACGTTATCTATAGCTGTCTGCACTTCCAAGATGAGGCTGTAGCTAGCGTCATCCTTATTTAATGTAAACTTATCATTCACACTAAATGCGGGTACTGAGGAAACAGCAGTACTGGACTGAGAAGACTGCTGGTATTTTTCACGTTCCTGAAGTACTTTCATCTGTAAGTGTTCCAATTCATTCCTAGAAAAGGGAAACCATACAGAATATCTTAAAAAAAACCAAAAAAAACCCCTATAAAAGCTACCCTAGAAATTAAGCACATCAAGCTTGCAAGGCAATCACGTTTATCCTCTGTCCATAATTTTCCAACCAGAAGTGACTGGTGACTCCCCTTCCACATGCATAACAAAGATAAAATATAAACAATATCACACGAAAATTGAGATTCTACTGTACTTTGCCAAAAGAGATTTTGATGAGTCATAGGAAAGGACAACTTTTCTCCTTCAAGAGTACAATGCTTTTGAATTATATGCTAGTGACTACTCTCCTCCCGTAATTTAGAAGTTATAAGCAGCAGGGAAGAAGGGAATCTTATCTTGCTGATACTGAGGAAGAAAGCATTAAGATATCATCATGTGAAGGCAAGACAGAAAGAGACTGTGAAATAAGGCTGCTATGGTTTTCTATTTTGAAAAGGCTTGATTCTACCTCTAGATACATTAAGGATACAGAAAATCCAGCGAGACAGGAAGGAAAGATGACATTTCAGCTTTTAACATTTCAATTCCTCCATTTAAATTTCTTTCTAGTGCAATTACCTTAAGGATGAAATCTTGCTCTGCATTTCTTGACTTAATTTTAGTTCTTCTCCTGATCCACCTTCTCTATGGACAGGTTCTGTAGTCAGTCCTGTCAGCCAGCCTAAACCAATATATGAAGTTTATATTCCTTGTAAGCTATAAAGAAAAATCTACACTCAGCTTTTGTACGTGTGAAGCGATGTTTGCTCCAGATACTAGGTTGAGAGAATCAAGACTTCAATTCAATCCTTTCTTTGGAGGATTAACCTAGACACTGAGCATGATTTTTTATGGCTTTCATTCTTAACTTAGAGATTGGAAAACATTATTTACTCTTTCTCATGAAGTATTTCAAGCAATAAATCCCGTTGTGGCAGTTTTTAACCAAAAAACCCACCTCTGTTTCTGACAAAACCTTGAATAATTGGCAGTACCGTAGTTGAAAACAAAAAGAAAAAGCTTTGCAATGTGTGTATGTTGCACCGTGTGCTCTGAGATTGAACGCTGCCAGTTGAAGAACAAAAAATAGTGTCTTTTTGTTTATTTAATTACATTTATTTATAAAAGCAAATACTAGTTGTTTATATCCTGAGACCTCAGCTATGATATGCAAACTTGAATGGGTGTTTACAGCTCTAGTTACCTCATCTAACGCATGCAAACAGTAAGACAGCACTACTATAAAACGCACCATAAAAGCTGACATGTCCACAATCTTTCACATTCCTTAGGTGTCTACTTCCAGTAGCAAGAAAGCCCAAAGATGGAGCATGAACTTTACAAAATCCAGAGAAGCCCTACACTGTCCGACTTCAAACATAACCTGTCCTGCTCTAAGCATTACTATTCCTGATCTGCCAAAATCTCCCAAACTCAGTCTACTGCACACCCTACCAGAGTTCACCTTTGAAAACCCACAGGTGAACACGGGCTTGTGCTTTTTCTTTCTTCTGTGACTCACAGATCTTTATAACATTCCCACTAAAAGAAGCCACAAAGGACTTTGGCCGCAGTAGTGTTGCAGCCTATCATACCAAAACAATTCAAATGAGGTGAGGCATAAGAGTCTTTCAATCATCCAAAGACTATTTGCAAGAGGTACTTGGACACCACTACTTCTCAATAACTGACTGAGAATTGGATCTTGCCAAAATACATGACTTTGAATGACAGAGGTTTCAGTAGGCTGATTTTTTAGCACTGAACATAACCAAAGATTCGGAATTAGCAGTATTTATGTCCCAGCAGTTAACACTTGCAGCATGTTTATTACGGCGCCTGT